GCAGCAAAGAGACGCGTGGGCGGATCCGATAGCCTCGTTAAAGTGCCAACACGTTCAGGATCACTCAGTGCATTGACATTAAGGCATGTGTGCAGCGTGAATGAATCACGGTGATGAGTGCATCGACTTATTGCAAACGAGTCACGAGTCATGAACGAAATTAATTAATTCCCCCGCCCCTGCCGCCGCCGGGGGTTGAGCCGCCCGGCCCTGCACGAGCGCAAGCTCAGCCGCTGTTTGGCGTTTGATCAGAGGGCGAGTCGAGTGGATCGATAACCCGAGATAGTTAGGCAAGTGGGCTTAGTGCCATGTGTATGAGCCAAGGGTCGGAGTGTCGGCTCGGAAGCAACGACGCGTTCATCGTTTCGCCGACGGTTGAGGGTTTATCTCAGCACAAGTAAAACCCCTTGGGCAATAAATGTGCCTTTTCTATGGGTACCGAGTTACACCACAGAAGCTTGGTCATATAAAACAGACGAACAAACCAAACCACAAACAACTGTAGATGGCCAATTTCCTAATGACACAGTTGGGCGTCACATGGTACAACTAGACAACTAGGATAAAGTATACAAGGCTTGAAGAGCATACACTACATACACATTTTGTTTCTAACTTAGAGTCTGCAAAGCAAAGCGACCAGTTGCACGTACACATGAAAGTTAATTTGAGGTGAAACAGTGATTTAAAGAGGAACAAGGATGATAAGGTTTTGATCCTCAACATGTTCCCTTGGGTATTCTAGAGCATCTTCTTGGTTCTTTCGGTAAAGTCACGTAGAAGGGAAGTAATAATATAATAAAAATAATAAAACATAATAAAACAATTCTTACGACGTTTCGACCACAACGCAAGCAGCCGTCCTCAGGTAGAAGGGAAGTAATAATATAATAAAAATAATAAAACATAATAAAACAATTCTCACGACGTTTCGGCCACAACGCAAGCAGCCGTCCTCAGATGAAAACCAGGTCTGTCGAGGCGACAGCGTCTGTTTTATTATTTTTATTATTTTTATTAATTTATTACTTCCCTTCTACGTGACTTTACCGAAATAACCAAGAAGATGAATCTCTGCAGTCACGAAAGCTTTAAATCGAAATTTATTCTAGAGCAGTGGTTCTCAAACTTGTTTGGCTACTGTATCGCTTGTTGAATTTTGTTTCAACCGAGTATTCCTTGCCTGACACCACATGGTTATGCATTTTTTTATATATATAATGAACATCAATATTTTAACCAATTGTCCATTTTGTGAGGTATTCTAACTAGCTAGCAACTACAAGTGAATAAAACATTCAACAGACGTTCTGCATGCGTGAGGCAATTTGTTCCCGTCCGCTGGTTACTCTTGGAAACCACATTGAGATCAATGAGTTGAGAAAGGTCTTTTATATCGTTATAGGTCACCATATGGATTTTCATGTTATCGTAATTATTTAACATTGGTAGATTCACACATGATTATTCACCAATGACTCATGTGTATTATGTCACATGTATAAATCACCTCACATATCCCCTTGAGAGATTGGCACGTACCCCCAGGGGTCGGCATATCCCCGGTTGAGTACCCATGCTCTCGAGATTAGGAGCCACCACACGGAATGTTTTAAAACCAAGCTTAGCTCTCACATCGAGGGGGACTTTGAGCAGGAACTTGCAGCAGAGAGAGGCTTCTACGAATATGGGCTTCTAAGAATACGACTTCTACGAATATGAATTGTATTCTCTGCCTTCAGAGAGAGCAAGACGGTTAGAATCCGACTGTGGCTGTGCTTCGCGTGCACGAGAGTTGGTAGCCACCGCGCCTCATAAACCCCGGGGCCATTGCCATTAAATCCTCTAAACCCCTTGGATGGTAACGCGATCTGGGATGGGAGCTGCTTCTCACCCCGCAAGCTGTTATGATAATCTGGCCCTGCAACACCATAACGAGTTATTCCTTTGTAAAATAAATCAAACTTTACCGCCCAGTCACAGTAAGCAGCAGATGATGTTTAGTCCAATAAACAACTTTTAATGTACAGCAATATAATCATAGGTATGTTCGGTTCAGTGGGACGTGCACTGTAATATATGAACCCGGGGACCTGAATTCGATTCCGGCCTATGGCTACATTGGTTTCAAGTTTTCATTTATTTGGTATAGCCCTGTGAGCCATGCGGCTCTTAAGTCGGGTGCAACCGCAACAAACAAAATATGAACGGAGAACATCTTAAAGCGACGACGCGCAACAGAAACATCCTGGATAAACCAGCAAATCTTCCCAAAAAAAAAACGCTGTGTACAAAAATCCCAGTGTGATGCAAGTCAAACAATAACAACCATAATACAATTTAGATTACCCATATGTTTTCGAAATCACCAAATAAAGCTTTAAAACAATGTAACAACAGTAATCATAGGAACTGTGATTTAAATTTAACAATAAACGATATATATATAACATGACCAAACTTTGCAGCCATAGCTGGCAGCATGACACTCCCAGTGTATGATGTGTGAGTCAGTGGTAGTGTAAGTGTATGATGTGTGAGTGTGTATGATGAGTGAATTCGTGTATGATTAGTGAATGGGTCAGTGGTTGTGTGAGTTAGTATGATGTGCGAATGAGTGAGTGTATCACGGCCTCCTCCACGCCATCACGGCCTCCTCTCCCGGCTCCGTCGGCTCCCCCAGCTCCGTCGTTCGTGGTATCTATCTCGTGGTATCTGAACCGGCCATGTCCCCCCCCCCCCCACCCCCTCAGCAATCCGCACTGACCACGCGAAGTTTGGTCAAATAACTCCCATGCCGAGCCGTGCATGGGGAGAGGCATTCAGTCAGCAGTGGGTTGAGGCTGTAATTGTAAATTGATCGTGACGCGAGTTATTTTGATTTGTCTAACTTCGGCCATGGGGAGGCGCTCATTCAACGCGACGCGCGGGGTCTGTTCAGCACCGCGGACAGCGCCTCCTCGACTGTGGACATCGCGATCGGAGTCGCCTCACTCGCACCGCCTCCCTCACCCCCCAACCCCTCTTGAAATCCCAACACGATTGGCCCACGAAGCGCGTTCGGACCAATGAACGTAAAGATCGCCGCCCGTGATCGCCTCCGTTATGCCTGATGACGTTTGTAAATAGAGCCTAGCTGGGAATACGTCTCCAGGCAACAGCACATTATGCGGCTTTACAGAAACCGGAGGCGTTATGCCCGTTAAGCTTAAGCGGTTTCTGCACATCCCCCACATGGATATCCGCACCACCCCCCCCACCCCGTCGCTTGTGTGCTGAAGATGCAACTCAACGCGTGGACACACGACGAGGACTCATTCTGCTGTTAATCTTTGCGCACGCATGGCGGCGTAACGGAGATGACCGCGATGCAATTGACGAGCGCGTGTTGTTGTGCGATAATGGTCCGCGACCCAGTAGCCACAGGAAACGTGGCTGGTCTATTTGTTCCAACATGTCAACATTGTGTTGTCTTCTTGTTATCGGCGTTTCCAAACGTATTTTCTAAGAGCAGTCTGTTACATGCGTTCGGAATGTAACAAGCACGCTCTTGTTACGTATTCCTAACAAGCGTATTCGGAACATTCGGATGGTAGCAGCGGTTATTTCACCGCGCTACGTACTCTCTGCGACCTAAATGCATTGTAGTCTTGGCCACGGCTAACATCAGTGGCGAGTGACATCTAAATTTGTTCTCCCCATCCACCGAGCTCACCAACCCTCACTGACCGGCGTGGTGAAGCATGATAAACAAAACAAAAAAACTCATGGCCGACTCGGAGTGTGGGAGGGCCTTTATTTTACAGTAGATTTATACAGGGCTGTAGATTAAGGTGTTTTTAGATTGCATCCAATGGGCTGGTGCAAACGAAGAAAGCTACGGCCCTGTATAGATTTGCTGGTGGGGGGTTTGGGGGGGGGGGATTTCCCTGTGGCGTCATGGTGCGGTATTCCTATAACCTAAACCTCCACAGCTGGCCTCAAAGACTATGCGACAGGCACGTTTCGCTATCAACCGTGGCAGATACGATAGCCCATCTGACACACAGACAAAACACCCCGTATGCACAGCACGGTGGTCTTATAGGGCTGTAGGCGCTGGTGTTGAATGAGGGTGATGGGTGTAGTCAGGACCACGCGCAACCGCTGTTTGTCCCCACAGCTGTTTACACAGCGCACCAGGTAGACCCATGGGAATCCTTGGACAGGTTCCGATACGATTCGCCACTTATGCGAGACCTGCCCTGGCTGAGCATGTATGTATATAACCAAGCATTTCGCTACTGCTAAAAGAATCGTCGTGCACGACGTCCGCCTCTGTCGACATTTAAACCAACTTCTGGCCCATGTGCTGTTGTTAGCTACGCCTATGAAGGCCGCAACTGCGCGAGCGGGTGGTGTGGCCAGCATTAGACCCGGCCGCCGCTATTTTTGCCAGTGCTAATGTTTACACACACCACACGATGCACTAATTTCAAGCTATGTCTAGCTAGGGGAGACCCAGGACAGTTTATTTTATTCACTCGCCACCAATTGCTATCCCTGGATTGGAATCCAACCCACGCATCGCCATGTTCGTGCGGTGCTCACCGCTGCGCACATTGTTCCCCACAAAGACCTCTTCCCCGCATCGTGCTTTCAGAATCTTGAGACCGCTCACCAAAGACAAGGACGTCCCGTACAAGCCTTAGTAGTCGGGGCAAGTGCTAATCGGAGGCACATGTGAAGGCTGGTACGGCACAACGAGGGGGTGGGTGGTCAGCACCAAGCCCGGCCGCCTATGTCTCCCTAGTAGCGATGTGTATACACCGTACCAGGCACTCATTTGAGATCGCCGGGCTCGTCGTACAGCGCACTCACCGCTACACTACCGCTCCCCATGTACACGCACACGCCGAGTGCACGAGGCGTCTCTGCCGATTGCCCCCGGGCGAGGTGAACGCGAGGGGATCGTGGAGTCCGCGTGACGTCAGCACGTAGCGATGACGCGCGACGTCAACGTCGCGCTGTTGTTCGGGGTGCGGAGCGCGCAGAATTGGCATTCGCGGGTGGACCACAGTCTTATTCAGCACATCATCACCACCACCACCACCAAGGTATGTCTCATCACGTACAATCTTCATATTATTCCGGTTATTTCCGTTGTTGGTGTTTACCCGAGTTTTTCCCCAATCGTGCGAGAGTGCCGGTGATGTGAATGTTGCCGATGCCATCATTAATTGTCGTGACCGTCATCTATTAAATGAAGGCGATCGCGGAGTGTCGGGAGGCGCCTCCGCGGGCAAGCGTGACACAGTGTTTACTCGGACATCGCGACAGCAGTCGAAGCTGCTGCTGATCCCCCCGCCGCTGCTGCTGCTGCTGCAGCTGCTGACGATGACGCATCAGCGCGGAGTTGGTGTAGCGTGTTTAGTCTGTTCGCTAGAAGATGGATCAGGCGCGCGGCATGAGCGTCGTGCCGCGCAGCCCCCTTCGCTGCGCCCAGAACAGCAAACGCATTCACCAGCCGCCGAGGATGCGACATCGTCTCTCGGGGTTGCGTGGGGCGAGCCCCAGACGGCGACGTTGGCCGTCTCTGTCCGTCGCGTCGGTCGGAGCGGTTCCGTGGTGGCTCTGTCTCGAGTCATTCCACGCGTTCATCGCACAGCGGCGTTCAATAAAGCGAGGTCCCTCTGCCTCCTGTCGCCGATCAGCCTCTTCCTTTCCGCGAACTCGCTGCGCTCTCGTCCCGCATGCGGCTCGGAGTAAATGCAAACACACCCCGGCACCACTCGTCCTGCTGCTGAGACGGATCGCGGTGTCCCGTTCTGCATGACCCAGCGGAGCATGGGCCGATAGTGGGAGGGGGGAATACGGGTTCTGGGGGACGGTGGCGACAGCGGCGGTGATGTCCAAAAGGAGGGTCCGGTCGGTTGTTGGATCGGCGTGCGTTGCGTAATTAAACTGATAATTACATCGAATGTCATCTACGCAGCGAGCTCTTGAGACGCACTGCCCGGGCGAGTAAGATGGAAGATTCGTGATCGTGAAAACGACGCGCGCCCTGTTATCTGTTGGTTTTTGGGGATCAGAGGTTCCCGGGTTACAGTTTTGAGTACATTGAACTGTTGTTGTTGTTTCTGTTGTTGTTTCTGCGCACGGGGCGTGTTGTTCACGCGATGTCCGTCGTCCCGGTTGCGCCGCGCCGGGAGGATCACACGGAGAGGTTGACTCGCCCCCTCACGTTTGTTTTTGGGGATTCATTTGAAAGCCCAACAGATACGGACGCTGCAGAAACCCGAGTCATTATTATTATTACGACGTGAATTGCACATTCACCCGAGCAGACGTCCGCGGCTATTGCGCGTGAGGCGAGCGGTCGGCGATGTTCGGGTCGGGCGCGCTCGCCGCTGACGAGCGCCACACGCGCACGGTTCGATCTCGGCATCTGAACGCCGGCGACTTGCGGGGCGTTATGCACGCAGTTGGCCGCATTGAAAAGCTTCAGCAAGCTTTGTTAGAGGTGAACATATATAGGCGACGTTTCGAACAATGGCCCTTATTCATTTGAGAGGTATCTTTTTGCTATAATAATACTTGGCTGTTTTCAATCCGCTGGTGGATAAAGGCCTCCCCTATGTGTCAATGACGTGCTACTGTTTGACCATACCTCACCGCGCTGGTCTGTGCGGGTTGGTGAAGTTGAGGATGCAAGGGATAGGGTTATGAGTGGGGTAGGACTGGTTCATCTGTCACTCGTCACTGATGTTGGCTGTGATTGAGAATCGAACTCGAGTAACGGCGTTTGTAGTGCAGTGTGGGCGTCACTGCTCTACCCGAATACGGGAATAACTAATTAATCAATACGTGCATACGTGACACCTCGGTTCACCGCGTCTCATCTACAAACGAGATAATTAGTTCTACAGAGAGACGATGATTAAAGAACACGGAATTGAATAGAACAGAGCAGAGAGATGCATCCGGGCGCCTATTCGGTGGTACCGAGATGCCATGACGTCCACATCACTCCCATTCTCTCCTCGCCTTGAGCGCAATTCTCCGGGGATGGAAGGGACATGGGCATCAACAATAAGGATACTGGAGTGGACCGGCGGCGCAGTAGTCATCGCATTGTGCTCTCAACCCAGCGCACGTGATTTCCATCCGCAGCTAACGTCAATGTCGAGCGATTATCTGAAATGTGAAATGGCGATGCACAACGCTCCCTTGCTTTATTTGCCTAATGACACCGCAAATTACTCCATTAACATTTACTAGGCAATTGTCGCCTCCAATTTAAAATAAACTTGGCAGAACCCACCTGAAAAATAAAAAAACACTTGGCTCAGTGAGAGTTTGCTGTTGTAAACAAGTGTAAATAATAACCCTCATTAACCAGCATGGTGAAGTATGCTAATACAACCCCCATGACCGATAAAGGTGTGGGGTTGCCTTCATTCATCCGGCATTGGATCGAGAAAGGCCTATGAAATATCATCATCGTTATTTCCAATACGTTGCTCAGAAGAGGGAAAACCTCGTGGAGGCGGGGAAAGGATTTTCGAGCGCATGCCTAGAGGTTAATTGAACGCGGTCAGTGGTTCAAAAGCCCGTTTGTGTGAACTTTGCTTGAGTGGGGTAGATGGAGAGGAGGGAATGGGGGGGGGGGGAGCTCTTTTAAAATCGCTGCTCTCTGCCTGCGACTTCCAGCTAGAAATGGAGCGGTGGTGCACGCTGTGCGACCTCATGCAGGGGAATCAACCAACACGCCCGTCCGTCCTTCTGTTGCTTTGCGATCTCACTATATTGTACAACGGAATTGAGAATAGTAAAAATAATAATTTCACGGACAGCCCTCTGGTAATCCACTGCTGGATGATGGCCTCCCTGCGTCCGTGCCAGTCATGGGGGTTGTAGTGCCATACTTCACAAGAAAAACAGATCTACCAGTTGACGTCGGGTACAATGAGCCTTTTTCACAGCACATAGAGGTATGTTGATTGTTTTGTTTGTTATTTAAACCTCACCAAGCTGGTCAGTGCGGGTTGGCATGGCCAGGTTCATAGAACAGTGCGCCTAATCACTACGCCACCTCTCCAGCCTGGGACGCTCTACTAATACAAATGTCGTATAATGTGCACCAGTCTCCTCTCTCCTCTGTGCTCGGATATCGGCTGCGCATGTCTGCTGTGTTGACGTGGGAGTAAAAAAAATCTTTACATATTCTACTGGCAGAGCGCACAGGGGACTCGGCAGTCAATATCACATTGCGATTTCATCGCCAGTTTGACTTTGATGTGTCTTGGTGTTCCGTGGATGCCTTAGCATTACGATCGAAAACGATATGGACTGTGCGCACACAAATACAAAGATTCCCCCCTATCGCCTTAACAGACTTGTGGGGCAAGTGCTGTTTGCGAGCACCTATGAAGGCCGGCACGGCACGCGAGGCAGTGAGTAGCCAGCACCACGCCCGGCCGCCTTTGTCTCTCTAGTGGCGATGTTTACACACCGCACCAGGTAGTCTTTTTGAGGCTAAGTCGATCTAGGGGAGGCCCAAGAAGGGTTCAGATAATCGTGACTGGTGTTGGCTGTAAGCTGGAATCGAACTCGGATCGCCAGGTTTGTAGTGCAGCGCGCTCACCACGACACCTACACAGTACTCACACGTCATGTATTTGGAGAGATAGTAGACGTATTCTAATTGCATTGCGTGCTCCCTTGCATGTCTGTATTTTCTGCTCGCGCTCCTATTCCTGATACATAAAATACAATTACAAAGGAATTGACCAAACATTCTAATCAGGGGGTTCTTTGAAGTTTTCTGGCTCAATTAAGTCTCTCATGGGTACATTAAAGTCATTAAAAACTCAAACGTGTCCCTGTAAATATATTAAAATGAATGTGTTACGCATTGCATTCAGGCAAATGTCGGCCGATGCACAGCTTCATTGGCGGTCCTGAATCAGGTGTCAAAACTCCATATTCCTATGGCAGGACAATTATGACATTATTCTAATTGTTTGTAGACTTCCGTAAAAATAACTGTCCTCTCACAACATATTTTATAGAATTGACCAAATATTTCAATGCAGGATCCCCCAACAGAACGCCCAGAGACCACCTCACACTCACCACCCCACACTCACCAAGCCACACTCACCAAACCACCTCACACTCACCACCCTACACTCACCAAGCCACCCCACACTCACCAAGCCACCCCACACTCACCACCCCACACTCACCAAGCCACCCCACACTCACCACCCCACACTCACCAAGCCACCCCACACTCACCACCCCACACTCACCAAGCCACCCCACACTCACCAAGCCACCTCACACTCACCACCCCACACTCACCAAGCCACCCCACACCCACCACCCCACACTCACCAAGCCACCCCACACTAACCAAGCCACCCCACACTCACCACCCCACACTCACCAAGCCACCCCACACTCACCAAGCCACCTCACACTCACCACCCCACACTCACCAAGCCACCCCACACTCACCACCCCACACTCACCAAGCCACCCCACACTAACCAAGCCACCCCACACTCACCACCCCACACTCACCAAGCCACCCCACACTCACCACCCCACACTCACCAAGCCACCCCACACTCACCAAGCCACCCCACACTCACCACCTGACACTCACCACCCCACACTCACCAAGCCACCCCACACTCACCACCCCACACTCACCAAGCCACCCCACACTCACCACCCCACACTCACCACCCCACACTCACCAAGCCACCCCACACTCACCAAGCCACCTCACACTCACCACCCCACACTCACCAAGCCACCCCACACTCACCAAGCCACCCCACACTAACCAAGCCACCCCACACTCACCACCCCACACTCACCAAGCCACCCCACACTCACCACCCCACACTCACCAAGCCACCCCACACTCACAAAGCCACCCCACACTCACCACCTGACACTCACCACCCCACACTCACCAAGCCACCCCACACTCACCAAGCCACCCCACACTCACCACCCCACACTCACCAAGCCACCCCACACTCACCACCCCACACTCACCAAGCCACTCCACACTCACCAAGCCACCTCACACTCACCA